GCTTAGCCACTGTATCTATGTAACAGGTGGATATAGGATCTGGCTCAGTACCAGCAACCTGTGACTTCTGGGTTTTCTCTTCTTTATTCTCAAAGCTCACACTAGTCAACCCATGTTCCACAGGACTCAGGGGTTTGCGTTAAAAATTCTCTTAAAAAATGTTCAGTACTACTCTCATCTAGCCAAACCCCCTCTGTTATAATACAGTTTTAGCTTCTCTACCCATGTTACAGTCCTGTCTCCTTCTAGGGACCTCTCTGAGATTGCCTCCATGGTGTATCGGAGTTCCCCAACCCTCAGTCCTTCACTGGCTGAGAAGATCATAGAAGGCTGGTCACAGGGTGATCATGGATGTATAGTTTTGTTTAGTTCTCATCATGCAATATTAGATTTCTTATTGTCTTAGAACATTTTCAAAATTATAAGTGGGAATTTTATATCTTATTACTAGGGGCTGTCATAGGTCTTTAATATCTTTGCCCTAAAGGTTATCAAAGAAAATATTTACATTTTTATTCAATATTGAGAAGAACTTCTACATAAAGTATATGTAAGTAGGCAATCTCATACTCTTAACAGAAGAACCAATTTTAAACAAATACTAAAACTCTGCATTATAATTATACATCAATTTTTATGCAAAAGAACATCCAATTTGGTCAGTAGATTTAGAAATTAATAAATAAAACAAAATGTACATAGCAAAATTAGCTGTGCAGCTTCATCCTACTCACTGGAGTTTAAATTCCAGAGAAAATGAAATTATAACTAACATACCAGTGGAATTTCTTATTTTGCTTGAAAACCAATTGAATATTAAGTCATGATTCACTGACTTCTTAAAATATCTTTTAGTACTCAAAGGGAAAAGTGTAAAATAACCTACGCTGTGATTATTTTGTGAGAATGATTTGTAGTCATTCTCAAAAGCATTTCATGAAGAAAGGTTTGTTTTTATCTTTTTCACTTTTTTTAAAATTTTACCAACTCCCCAGTAGACTAAATACCCTGAGAAAATGAAAAAGTATTTATAACTGAACAGCAGTCTATGGAAACCCAAAGGCAGGTACTTCTTGTATAAATATGCCTCAGGCAAACTTCAGCTTGGTCTTAACTAAAATATTTAGTCTGCTCAAGAATTTTGTTCAAGTACAAAATTTGCATCCTGTTCTGTGAATTTCCTGGCCTCTCCTTTTTTGGATCATTTCCATTCTAAGGGTGTCTGCCTCCCTCAGTTTGAAACAGCTGACACCATCAGAGACGCTGGAAAGACTGCGGGCTTTGTCTCCTGACTGTGACCCATGCACGCCACTCTCCTGCTTTGCTTCTGGGTTGCTGTGCACTTTCTCATGTTATACTATGTTGGGAAATATTTACCTTATTTTGAAGGATGTCAATCTTAACTACATAGCACAGCACACCCACCTCTGAGTGCTTAAAGTTCCATTTTCTCTTTTCAGGTGAATATCCAGTCCTTAAGAATTAATTTGTCCAGCAGGCGGCTAAACCACTGAGCTAAATCCCCGCCCCCAAAATAGTATTTACCTTTTTTTTTTTTTTTGGTACCAAGGATCGAACTCGGGTCCTTGAGCTTGGGAGGCAGGCGGCGGAACCACTGAGCTAAATCCCCAGCCCCCCTTAAGAATTAATTTGGAGTAACTGTTTTCCAAAATAATTAAGTCTCTAAGAATGGCAACAGCTATTTATCATTTAAAATACTGAAATATTGCTTCCTTTTTAAAAAATATAAATCATATATAAATAAAAATATTAAAAAATATGTCAGTAGAAATAGAAACATCATGAGCATCCAACTCAAAACTTATCTGAACTTATATTTATGTATATATCATGCAGACTAGCTCCTTCATAATGAGTCTGTACAGATTGTATTGAATTGCGATCAGATACATATTTCCTATTTCTCCATTTTTTCACAGAATATTAATGTATTTCCTCTTATTCATTTCTTATCCTATAGAAAAGCGATACCTTATCTATTATGAGTATAAATTAAGTTCAATTTTTTAGAGAGGAAATAATGTATCAGTGTATTATCAGTGGATAATAAAGTGGTTTAGATTGTTCTTTTCTCATTGTGGAAAGGTTTCCTGAGAAAAGAGGGCTGCATCATTAACAACAATTTTAAAAAAAGGTGGAATATGGATAAGAAGGGAGAAGAGTAATTATTAATGAAAATGTCAGTATATAATAAAAATATAAGTAGTTTTGTGAATCATTTTTACTGTTGTGACAAGTATCAGTAATATCAACTTAAGACATATTTTGGCTCAGTTTTCTTGAGGTTTCAGTCCATGGTCAGCTGGCTGCATTGTTTCTGGGCCTGAGGTGAGGCAGGATGTGATGGCGGAGGGCATGATGGAGGCAGCCAGGAAGCAGATAGAGGGAGAGAGGGTCAGAAAGCAGGAATCAAGGACAAGATACAGTCCCCAGGATCACTGCCCATTACCCACTTCCTTTAGTTAGGCCACAACACCTGTGTTTCCATTATCTCCCACTCATGCCATAAAATCAGAACCCTATCAATGGCTTAATCCCCTGATGAAGTTAGAACCCCCAGAATTCAGTCACCTTCTGACAGCCTGCCTATGAACACAGGAGACTTGGAGGGGACATTTCCAAACCTGAGCCATGCTGCAAGTCTCTATCCAGTATTAAATAACATCACCATAGCTCCATTCCTCTCTCGGTCTCTCTGCTCTGGTTCCTTGGTGTTTGTTTGATCCTCTGCTCCCAAAATGACCTCCAGTAGTTCCAGATGCTGCATGCTTGCTTGCTCAGGGAATAAGGAAGCAGGGAGGAGAGCTTTTGCACATGGGAAGAGAACCAAGTAATGGATGGAGGGGTAGGCATGGGAGAGTACAGGGATGTAAAAAGACTGGAGATGTGTTATGTACATGTCCCAAGACCCCATAATGAATGTAATCATTATTCACCACAAATATGCACTAATAAAAATTGAAATTAGAAGAAAAAGAAACAAAATGCTTGTTTCTCTGGGCAATAAAGCCCCAGAATAGAGATCCATTGACATTCAAATGGCATGTGTTCATCCTTATCATTGTAGATAGAGATTGCCAGACTTTGACTCTCAAAAGCACATTAGTATGAGCCTCTGGAATGAGAATAAATCCTCCCACCACACCCACCTACAGTGTTAACAAGAGGTTAGAAAATCTAGAAGATTCCACAATATAGGGAGATTTGAATACCTGTTTAAGAACCTTGGACTTAATCCACATAGACTAAAGGGAGCTCTTGTGCTTTGAACAAAAGAGGAATCCAATGAAATCAGCGTGTTAAGTAGTTAAATCTGAAAAAAGACAAAAGCAGTCAAGCCTGAAGGCAGTTATAGGACATACTACCATGATGTTTAAGAAAGAGAAATCTGTTGACTCTTAAAACAATACTCTGGGAAAGAGGAAGTGAGTCCCTGGGCTGTGACCAGTTCTTCTTAGGTAGAACTCTGAGGTGAAACTTCAGTTTTCCATTAAGATTCCAAATAATGTGGTTTGGGACACTGCAACAAAGATAGGATTGTACCATTTCCCATGCCTTAATACTGCACCTTCTTCCAGACCAAGCCGCGAGCTGGCTTTCCTCTCCATTTTATTCCAGTTAGTTACGATCACCTTGGGTCTCAGAATTCTCACATCACAGCTTGTCTAGAAGTCAGAGAGAAGATGAGTCCCTTCCTGTGTCAGGAAAGGCTGTCCTTGACTCCACGGAACCTGAACTTCCTTTTATTGCAGTTTACATCCTAAGAATTTAAAAATAGATATTGCTACAATCATAGCAGTGGACATTACCTTTCAACAAGAATTTCGAGTATTTTGTCAATCAACAAAGCTTCCCTTAGCAAGGAGTAGAAAACACAGTGGTTTAAGCAAGTACATTTCTTGAGTTAGTGTTGTTGATTCAGCTGTTCATCCATACCAGCATTTATGGCTTTGTTTCTGAGTCTTCATTGCATTTTACATCATGGGGACAAAATTGCTGCTCTGCCTCCAGCTCCCACATTCTCATTCAAGGAAAGTAAAAGTGTGGAAGAGAAAAGAGGAGCAGGAGTTTTTCTACTTATCAATACACCAAAATTCTGTCAGGATTTTTTTTACCCACCATAATTCATATATAGTAGCTTACGTGTCAGAATATGGTCATAATACTGTTCTTATTTCTATTTGTGAGACACAACAAGGAAGAAGGTAGTTGGGAATGGTTTTTCAGTGGCCAGTAAATAGAGTCTTCCATGGCAACTATGGTTATGTATTCTGTGCTCACACTTGGAAAGCATGCTCAACATTTTGCATCTGACCTTGTGTTTATCTGTACCTTGTGCTTCATCTACTCTTTAGGAGAACACTTGATTACCAACTCTAAAATATATTTTATTCTCTTTTTCGACTACCAACTTCAGCTTAACTCATTCAGCAAAGATGCTAGAATTTCAGTTTCTCTGAGTAGGCAATACATGCGAACTAGAAAGGATATTATTCTTGTTTGTGCCTAATTATCTTGGCAGGCATTACCCATGTGAAAGGAAATATAACAAAACAACCAGATGACTCCAGACTTAGTAAGAGTCTCCCATTTTATCTCTTACAGAGTTTGATAGAATTTCATGTAAAGATATATTACCAAGAGACCTCAGCACCTAACTGTAAGAGAAGCTCAGTACCAGAATGCAGCACCTGCATATCAAAAGTAAAATTAGTAATTATACCACTTGATGCAATGTTAAAGGAAATAGTCAATTAAAGCAGTAGGAATTCTACCAGAATCTTCTGCAGGCAGTATCTTCATGCAATTCTGACTTCACAATGATACAAAATTTTAAGTGACAACCGTGCTGAATCAGGGAGCAGTAAATCTAGCCAAGTTTAAATTTAGTAACACTGCTAGTTTACTGAAAATAACCTTCTCCATGGCAGATTCCCTAAATCACAGGTGACTGACGCTGGTTTTTCTGTTCTGTTTAGAGATAATCAGGTACCCACTGGTGGACACTCTGGTGGCTTCTCTCCTCCACGGTACTGTGGTGTACACTGCAGGCGTCCCATTGGCCAGTCCCAACAGCACTGGAAGTCAGCACTCCACCACGTCTATTCTTCTTGAAAGCTTCACTATATATGTTCAAAACTTTCTGGGTGAGCATAAGGATTTAAAGGTAAGTGAATTTTAGCAGTAACTCACATTCCTGTGAAACTCTCAATTATATCAAAAGTAATTTAAATATATATGTATATATATATATAGAGAGAGAGAGCACTTATTACACATAAGAAAAATAGCTACCAATGTGCAGTTCCCATGCAAAAAGCAGAAAAAGATGAAATACAGCGCTTAAAAATGGCATAAGTCATGTCAATAAGAAGCACAGTAGAAATCTTGCTCTTTAATAATGTTTCACATGAAAAGTCCATAGTGGTTCTCAGACTGTCATGTGCATAAGTGACACATGGAGGTGAAGGAGAGGTAATTAGAAGACAGATTCTTGGGCATAATGCACAGAGACATAGACTCAGTATGGCTGGGAGATAGTCCAGGAACCTGAGTTTTTATGGTTACTCAGTCTTGAGCCTTTAAGAAACACTGAAAGTGGAATTTGAAGTAATATACCTTTTATTTTCAAACCTTAGGTTGAACTTGGACTTTTACGTTGTTTCCTTTGGTCACAAGAATAAGGAAAGAGTCATTTTAGCATAGAAGTGCTAAGTTAGTGCTTCCTGTTTAACCACTCAATTTGAATTATTAATTCTCATTTATATTCCTTTGAAGTTTAATATAATGACTAAATCCCAGGTGTCCCTCTCTTTCAGAGTGATAGCTCTGTCATTGCCCTCTTCAGCTGGTACATTGTCCTGTGTAATGTTTTAATTTATTCAGATGTTTATAGTTATTGGATATAGAGTGGGACCCTTAACTTACAAACTCAATTCATTCACGAGGGCTGGTTGTAACTCAAGATGGTTGTACGTCAAGACTCTTTTTTCCCATGAGAAATAATGGAAATGCACATAATGAGTTCTGAACTTCACAAAGCACCCCTTAACTAACCTTTTCATAATATGATCCTTATATAATGTGCACAATTTATAAGAAACACCAAAAAGTTATAAAATGTGCCTAGTTACCAGAAACAACATTTTTTTTTTTTTTGGCACTGGGGATCGAACTTGGGTCCTTGCACTTGTGAGGCAGGCAGTGAAATCACTGAGCTAAATCCCTGGCCCCAGAAACAACAATTTTGCACTGTATTCGCCATTCAAGTTGACATCTTTGACTTGCAGGAAGGGAGGATGAAATGGAAGGTAGTTACCGTTCCATAAGAACATCAGGAATCTGGCTCTCTGGCGTCCTTTATCTCCTTGGGAGAGTCTGTCACCCACTAGGACTTGCTTCTAGTTCACTAGGTCTCAAACTTTTCAGAACTAAAAACTGGTCTAAAGTTGTCTGTTTCTGTCTTTTCTTTAACACTGTTCTGTAGTATGACATGACATTGTCATTTAGCAAGTGAATGCAACCATTGGCTTTTTCTCTGTCTGAGTGGGTCTTCTCTACAGATGTTTGTAGCTCTGTCCATTTTTTCAAGATTTCTTTTAGTTCAGAAGAAGGGCTTTGCTGCACTGATTGTTAATACTCCCCCTCCTCTTCAGAAAGCTCCTCTGCTGCCATTCTCTGTTGTGCAGCCAGAAGTTGCTGAAATTCCTCTGTAGACAATTCCTCTGAGTGTTGCTCCACCAATTCCTCAACATCACTACTGTGTACCTGAAATCCAAGGACTCTGCCAGAGTGACAGTGTCATCAACCACAGGATCAACTGAAGGCTCAGGCTCTCTACACAGCCTTCAAAGTCTCTCTCCTGTATAATTTTGGGCCACACTTTCTTCCAGGCAGATCTCAATGTCCTTAGAGAGATGTTAGCCCAAGATTTCTCAATTAACCCCACACAGGAAAGGATGTTGTAGTTTCCTTCAAGAACTCTCTAAAGGTTAAATCTGTATCTGAGACCATCTGGAAGCACTTCAGAGCAGTTCCTTGGTGTATAGCTTCTTAAAGTTAGCTATAACCTGATGGTTCACAGGCTGAAGTAGAGGAATGGTATTAGGTGGGAGGAATCAACTGAGAACCATGGGAATTCTTCAGCCAATTCTTCCAGATTTCATGGGTGAACAGCATCATTGTCCATGATAAGGAGAGCCTCTAGTGGTAAACATTTGTCTTCTAGATATTTCCTAACAGTAGGACAGAAAGCCTCCCTGATCCACTCAATTAAAAGTACTCTTGTTACCCAAGCTTTTGTGTTAGATCTCCACGTGACCCCTAACCTATTCTTCATGACTTTATGTTTTCTGAACACTCTAGGGGTCTCAGTGATAAACCAAGAGAGGCTTTATCTTGAGGTTCCCACTTGCATTGGCACATAGCAATAAGGTTAGCCTATCCTTCATAGGCTTGTGGCCTTGTCTGTGGTCTCTCTAGAGGGAGACCGGAGACCCCGGAGAGCACCAACCTTTAAAGAAAGAAAAGGAGACAGCCTGGGGGACAAACAGCAGTTTATTCTCTTGGAACTGTTCCACAATCACAAAGGAAAGAAGTAAGGCTTTTATACATGTAGGAAAGCAGCGTAGTTATTCTGGCTATTGTCTTTCTGGTTTTAACATCTGGTGATAACAAGTGACTTTAAGTGACTCATAAAAGCTACAGGTGAATTTACACATCCCTTGTTTCCGTTCATCAATCTGTATGTCTAAGAGCACAACGCAGGCCTCTTCTTATCAGATGGTATCAAGAAAGTAGGGCTACTTCAGCAGAAGTCAAGCCCACCGGCCCACCACAAACATGGCAGATGTACATAGTGAATAGTATCTCTCTCACCACCTGTAGAGTCATTGGGTTGCGGTCCTTTGACCCCGGACAATGGTTAATAAGAAAACTAGGAAAACCTGTTTTTCTCCTGTAAAACTTTTACAACATCTCTTAAAGTTTCCTGGAATTCTTTTAACAAACAGACTTGTGGAAATTCCCAGAAACGAGTTCTTAATTTTCTCAGTTAACTAACTTCTTGTGATTAATTCTTACAACTCAATAACTAAATTCTACAGTTTCCCACATGGCCTATCATTTTCCTCTCTTCCTGGGTAATGTATGTTCTCCTGGGCATTCTCTTCCAGAAATGGCCAGTTTCACTACAGTTGAACATTTGATGAGAGTAAAAGCCATTTCTCTGTGTCATTATTTGGAAGTGGTGTATGTCATTTTCAGCAGCCCTTTTATCAGCACTGGCTGCTTCATCTGCCTAGTTATGCTAGGAAACACGGTTCTTGCTTTAAAATTGTGAAACTGTCCCTTACTGGCACAAAATGTTTCACTATTAAAACTCATTGATAGATTATCTTTATGAGACCTGCATTTATAGCCCTAGCTTTTTCACAAATTATAGTCTCAGATGTCTTCTAACCTGCCACCTGCCTTTCTTTTATCCATGCCAATAACAGCTTTTCTATCTCCTGTAACACACTGATCATGACTTACTCATTTAAGTAACACCTTTAGCAACATTGTCATCCTCATTCAAATCTTTTCTCTGTAAGATTATCTAGATGATGGATTTTGACATTCTATACATGTTAGCAAGAATGGTCACATGAATGTCACTCATATTTCTCCACAGTTTCCTTCTTCTTTTCGATTGTGATTGGTTTCTTTACCTTCCCTTCCTTTCTTAGCTTCGTTTCTAGCTTTTGGGGGGCCATTTTGATAGCAGTAATCATAGTGATGATAAAAAGCACTGACCAAAATCACATCCACAAACATGTGCATCTGGGCTCAGACTGATGCTTACGTATGCTTACATATGCTTTTCTGGCATCATGAGTCTTTGTTTACAACTTCACAAGTAGCCAGCATTTGGGTCATAACTCATGACTTTGGTTGTAAGTTAAAACTAAAATTCCTGTCATAACTCAAGTTGTTCATATGTCAGGCCAGTATCCTTGAGTATCCACTGTAATTATAAGAAATATTTAAACAGTAAAATTGTGAGTTATTACCAAGGCTGGCTAAGCATTTTTGCATTTTAAGGGTTGTATCTTTTTCTCTTCATTTGAAAACTCAGGTTTAGATTTTAAAAACCAGATCTATTTAATATATCTCTCATTACAATTTTTCTTTTCAAGTAAGAGCTTATAAATCATGTGATATATTTATAACAGGATACATGTACACTCAGTGAATATGGCTTTATTGTATTTCTGCTTCCTTTCTCTCACTAAGCAATATTTTTAATATTTGGAATTTCAGGTTTATAAGGGGCAACTTTTTTATTCCAGCAAAAGAAGTGATTAGTAGAGACATATTGAAATTTTTAATTGTTTGCTTTTTTTTGGTACCTGGGATCGAACTCAGGACCTTGTGCTTGCAAGGCAGGCGCAGTGCCACTGAGCTAAATCCCTGGCCTTTTATATTTTTAATTGTGATGACTCCCTAAAGATTCAATGTGATTTTATTTTTATGATGAAGAATGAAGTTTTAATCAAAATTCTTTGGATGAATATCAGGCTCATCAACATTTTTCTCTCTGTGTGTCTCTTTCAGTCTTTGTATGCACTTGTTCAGATTATGTCAAATTTCTTGTCCATAACATATGAAAGATAAAAATAAACCCTTCATCAAAAAATATATCATAACCGAAAGGACCTGAGTTTGATCCCCGGTACCAAAAAAAAAAAATTAAATATATATATATCCCCGTGGTGTCAATTAGTTACACATATTAGCTATTAGAATTATACCTAGAAAATTGAAAATAGTCATATGCATGAAATAAGGCAGAGTATATTTCATGTAATCAAATTTAAAGAATTACAGAATTTGATTAACAGAAGTAATAGTTTCATATGTATTTCTTTTCAGAATTGTTCTCAAGATTACCATAACTGAACATAAAATTTGAAATTGTGGTACACATCATAAAATCCTAAAATTTATAGAACATAAGTTTATGGTTGAATATGTTCTCTAAATAGGACTTAATAAAGGTCTAATGCAACTTCAATTTCAGAGAAACATAGAAACTGCTTTTTTATTTTCTCCCTCTCTATCCCTCCTCACCTCTTACTTTCTTCTTTGACTTCTTTTTTCCCTTTGCCTGCAGAGAAGCAGGTA